GTGTTTTAGCCATTATTTCTTCAGACATTCTCTCTGACCCTTTTTCTTCTCTCCTGGGACTTCCATTATGCATATGTTGGTATGCTTGATGGTGTTCCACAAGTCTCTGAAGCTATGTTCATTTTTCTTCATTCTTTTTTCTTTTGTCAGACTACACAGTATCAATTGATTTGTCAAATTTCCTTATTCTTTCTTCTGCCAGTTCAAATCCATTACTGAATCCCTCTAGTAAATTTTCAAGACCATAACTGTACTTTTCAATTCCAGAATTTCTATTTGATTTCTTTCTATAATTTCTAACTTTTTTATTGATACATTCTATTTGGTGAGACACTGTTCTTATATTTTTCTTTAGTTCTTTAGACATAGCTTCCTTTACTTCTTTGAATATATTTAAAATAGCTGATTTAACAACTTTGTCTACATACTGGCTTCTTCAAGAACAGTTTCTATTGGTTGCTTTTCCTACATATGGGCCACATTTTTTTGTTCTTTACATTTCTCATAATTTTTTTGTTGAAAATTACACATTTTAGATAATATAATGTGGCAAATCTGAAAATCAGAATCTCCCTCCACCACCTAAGGGTTTGTTGGTGCTTGTTTTGTTAGTGATTTTCCTGGACTCTCTCTAGATTCTGTATTCTTTGTCATATGTGTCTACTGAAGTCATAGCCTGGTTTGCTAAGTGGTCAGGTAATGGTTGTACAAACGTTGGACAAGGCATTTCCTTAAATGCCTTGAACTAATAAGTCTCCAACCTTTGCAGAGGTGCTCTGTGCATGTGTTAGGGCACACCTTCAATGTTCAAGTAGGCAGTTTGTAAGTCTACCTTAGCCTACATGTCCAGTGTAGAACCTCAAGACCACCTATAGGTAAGAGCTTTGTACTTTGTCAAGTCTGGTTTTTGTAGGGCTGGATTAGCAATGAAATTCCTTTCTGTGTTTTACAGGACTAAGCAAGTTAAGTAAATATATTGAGAATAATGGAATAACAAGTTTCTCATGGAAAAGGAAAGACTAGAACAAACCTGTGGTACTGGATTGGAATTTCTTAAGAACAAGATATTCTCTTTTATAACCACAACATAATTATCAAAATCAGGTATCAGCATAAACTCAAAGTTTTTAATGGACAGATAGATAAGAAATAAGTATGGATTTCTAATTCTGTCCATTGATAGCCTGAAATAATGACACCCCAGTAGCAATGCATGTACGTAGTATACTGATCTTGTTTTGAAATACCATTCTCCACTAAATAGAAGTAGGGCTCCTTAAAGAAATGTCTGCTTCCAAGGCTGGGGCACGGGGAAAAAATTTGGTGAACCTGGAACATCTTACTGTGCCAGAAGGTAAAGAAATGCTCAAAGAATGATGAGGACATGTCAAAAAGACACTAGACACAGCTTAAAAGGACTCCTAAGGATCAAATCTGAGGTAATTTAAACTTCAGAATACATAATGAGTAATAAATGATAACTTTTTGGGTAAAAGAGGAATTCATAAATCCATGTTGATATAAATGGGAAGAAAGATAAGGAAAGCTCTTCTTTAAAGTGCCAACAAATAAATGTTAAAGGAAAGATGGAGTCATAAAACCACCACTTGATAAACATCACAGTAAAATTGAATCAGGCATCATGAAAGGATATTAAACTAGTAAGTTTGATGAAGAAAAAGATATCTACTTATTCTTAAAGTAACTCCCACAAAATATTTATAATTTTTTTTAAAACAGTAATTTTACAGTAGATAAAACCGGAAGACACCACATCAAGTTAACATCACCAATCATGAGATAAGCAGATATCCTGTGCCTTTTTATGTGATGCACTGAGAAGGATATATCATTTCTGGAGTATTCCTGCCAAAAAATATAAACTTACTCTAATCATGATAAAATATACACAAAACCAAAATTAAGAAATACTCCACAAAGTAACTAGGCTATACTCTTCAAAAAGTCAAGGTTACAAAAGAAAAAGAAAGACTAAAGAACCATTCCAAATTAAGGGAATCTTTTTTTTTTTTTTAAGATTTTATTTATTTGACAGAGAGAGAGAGAGAGTGAGCACAAGCAGGGGGATTGGCAGAGGGAGAAGCAGGCTCCCCCCTGAGCAGGGAGCCCATTGTGGGGCTCAATTCCAGGACCCTGGGATCATGACCTGAGCCAAAGGCAGACACTTAACTGACTGAGCCACCCAGGTGCCCCAAATTAAAGGAATCTGAAGGGACACGACAAGTAATTGTAAAATGTAATGCCAGATTCACTCCAGAACAAATTTTTTTAAAGATATCATTGAGATCATTAGCATTTTTTAAATATCTGTGGATTAGATATTAGTATTATGTCAGTGAAAATTTCCTGATTTTGATAATTGCATTATGGTGGAAGAGAATGTCTTATTCTCTAGGAAATTTATATTTAAGTATTTAAGGGTAAAGGGTCATCATGTCTGAAATATGCTCTTGAATTCCTTAATAAAAATAATAATATAAAAATACATAGGAAGAAAAAATGGTAAAGTAAATGTGATAAAATGCTAACTGCAGATTCTGACTGAGTTATATGGGAAGTCTTTGTATTATTCTTGTAACTTTTCTACCAGTCTGAAATTATTTCAAAATTTAAAATTATTTCAAAAAAAAAAGTACTAACTGGGAACAATGAATGAATAAGATCTAATATAACTATATAGTTAAATCTAGAAAATATTACGTGAAATAGCAAGCAACCTACATACCAGATGATACCATTTACTTAAAATTTTTAAAATCATACCACAATATATATTGTTATTCATGTATGTAATAAAGATTTAGTGTTTACTTTGGCAAAGGGAAAAGAACAGAAGGAGGGAAACTTGGTAAGGTAACAATTTTAATAATATATTTTAAAACACAGCTAATTCAAGTGTGACAAATTTTTACTGTGTTATATGTGATGGTAGGTCCATGGATATCTGTTTGTTTGTTTTTTTTAATTTTAACTCCAGTATAGGTAACATACAGTGTTAAGAGTTTCAGGTGTACAATACAGTGATTCAACAATTCCATACATCACCCAGTGCTCATCATGACAAGTTCGCTCCTTAATTTCCATTGCCTATTTCACCCATCCCCCCAGTGACCTCCCCTCTGGTAACCACCGGTTTGTTCTCTATAGTTAAGAGTCTGTTTCTTGGTTTATCTTTCTTTCTCTTATTTTTTTCCTTTGCTCATTTTTTGTTTCTTAAATTCCACATATGAGTGAAATCATATGGTATTTGTCTTTCTCTGACTTATTTTGCTTAGCATTATACTCTCTAGATCCATCCATATGGTTATAAATGGCAAGATTTCATTCTATTTTATAGCTGAGTAATATTCTATTGCATATTTATATATGCATATATATGTGCATATATATATCACATTTTCTTTATCCATTCATCTATCAAAGGACACTTGGGCTGCTTCCATAATTTGGCTACTGTAAATAATGCTGCTATAAACATAAGGGTACATGTATTCCTTTGAATTAGTGTTTTGTAACTTTTGGGCAAATACCCAGTACTGCAATTACTGGATCACAGGGTGGTTCTATTTTTAACTTTATGGGGAACCTCCATACTCCATATTCCACAATGGCTGCACCAGTTTTTTGTTGTGTTGTTGTTAATATTTTATTTATTTGAGAGAGAGAGAGATAGTGAGCAAGTGAGCAAGAGAGAGAGAGAGCACAAGCCTGGGGAGAGGCAGAGGGAGAAGCAGACTCCCCACTGATCAGGGAGTCCGATGTGGGGCTCGATCCCAGGACCCTGGGATCATGACCTGAGCCAAAGGCAAACGCTTAACTGACTGAGCAACCCAGGCGCCCCCACAGTGGCTGCACCAGTTTACATTCATGGGTATCTGTTATTATGTTTGTACTATTCTATGTAGAATTATATAAATTATAGTAGATATATATTTTTTAAAGCTTTTAACAATTCAAAGGATCTAAGACCTCAAAATGCCCTAGTATAGCCACAAACCAAATGGTTTCTAAAGATATTTGGGCCTAAGCCCAAAGATGGAGACATGTACAAACAAAAGTTTATAGGGTACTGAGAGTGAAGGTCAAGCCAAATCTGAGAATACCTATTCTCTGCCCAAGGTTCATCTCTCTTCAGCCTCTCCTTAAGTCTATGCTTAATTTTGGTCATTTTCCTCATAGGGATTACTTCTTCCAGATCTCCTAAAAGTATAAAAATATAAGTTCAAAGCACTATGTACTTCAGTCTTGTAATTAAGTAAAACCAGACAAATCATCCATATTCATGGATAATTCATATATTTCAATTGGCTGGATGAAATTTTGGCTCAGTTTTGGCCAAGTTTGAACCCAAAAAGCTGCATGAGATGGATCTGCTATAATATGTTTGATATTTTAACTAGAGAGAAGTTCCTTATCTTTTTTAATAAACATTTGTGAAATAAATAATGCTTACATTATCAGATTCAAATTCCTTTATTAAAAAATGTTCTTTTCCCTTCCAAATTCAGGGAAAGAATATCTATGTATTGCATAGGATTATACATCATAGCAGAGACTTCTAGTAAGTGAAACCTTTTTCCTCTTCGTCCTAGATGTAGTTAGACTATATTTCCCAGCCTCCTCAGCCCTTATGTATGTCTATGTGATTAAGTATTAACACCCAGATTTGGCCACAAAATCCTCCCACTAGCAGTCCTCCATCCTCTTTCCCCTTTGCCACATGGATACAGATGAACTAAAGGCCTTCAATGATGATAGTAACATGAATGGACTATGCCTGTGTCCCTGGATCTCTACACAGAAGAAAGTCTCTTATCAACAAGGAATACCCATATGAATGAGGAAAAAAAGAACTTCTGTTGTATTAAGCCACTGAGATTTGGGGGTCTATTTATCATTGCAGTTGGTATTACATTAATTAAAACACCCATAATCATAAACAATCTTCCAACTGTCAACAGAAAATACAATATACTTACAAATTGAGGTTTATAGTATGCTGGACCTAGTGTACTGTCACTAGCAGGTGGAGAATGTTTTATAATTCTGCCATCCTCACTAATATCATAACCATATGACCATCCACAAGAAGGAATTGAAGGAACATCAACACTTCTGTAAACTGTAGGTGGTGCCCTTGAAATTTTCTATAAGAAAATATTTTATATCATTTACTTGGAGACAAGAAAAGGAATAAAGAACAAATATTAAAATTTACTAAAAGGCAATTATAAATATTCACGTAATGACTTTCATAATATAAACCAAAAATGTTTATTCTATAAAAGTAATTTAAAGGAGTAAATTCAAGTCTCACCTAATCATATAAATTAAGATAACATACAGTATTACTATTAAAACCACCTTAAGAGGAAAAGAGTCTCTCTCACTTGGCTCAGTTATTTATTTTGCTTAGTAAATAAGTATTACCGGTGCTAAAAGCAGGTATTCACTCCTATAGTCACATCATCAATCACCAGTTCAAAGTGGTTACTTGTGCTATACTATCATAATATTCCCCAGGCAAAAATGAACTTTATACTTTTCTGTAACATTTCCTGGCTTCATTACTTCAGCTAAATCAGCTCCTGATTTATCTCCGTATTACTGGTGCCCTACATAAATATCCTAATATTGCTGACTAGATAGCAAGAAAAATGTCTATGACATAATACTAAATGGAAATATAAAATAGAATTTATGACTATAAGATATATGAAATTATACATAAGTATATATAGTAATATATATACAATTTAATAATGAACTTTTAAAAGCTATGCAAAAATTAACAGAATTATCCAAGTTATAGTCAGAAGTTTTAGGGCAATTATCATTTTTTCAAAATTTCCTTTAGCATAGAATATTTTATAATTTAAATAAAAACAAGAAGTAACATATAGTAGAAATACTAGCACAAAATTTAGCAAATGAAATACTGGCATTTAAATGATTTAGTTATCTGGAAAATTACTTAAGAATATATTGATCCTCTGTTGTTTCTAAATAAATTAATAAATGTTATAGTTTAGTGCACGCATGCCCAATAGACAATTATGTTATAAACATACTATCACTGGCAGAATTTTACTTTTTTTTATCATTAGAGACCACTATTAAGTAGTTTCAGTGATACTTATTATACTGATAACCAAATTAAAACAGGAAGTATTGAATAGCTTCTCCCACTACTTTCAAAAATTATTTGTATGATGTCAAGACTTTCCAAAATATGTCCCTACCTCCTTCTCCACCCTCTATTCCTACTACCGTCCCTTAGATTCTATCCTCCAAATATTCTAAAGAACTCTGTTCTTCCCCAAACATACAATGCCATTAAATGCCTCAATGTCTTTATTCACATGGTTTTCTCTGCCTGGAGTGTTTTTTCCCATTCTTTTTAACTACTTAGTGAATCCTTCTTTAAGATCCAGTTTGATTGTGATATCACTATTCCCTCCAAAAACTCTCTACTTTGGGCTACTAGTAGACATTTTATTATGATATATGTTTATTAAAATAGCATTGCATCAACTATTTTGTACTGAATTACATAATTTCCCTATTAAAATTATAGATCCTGGGAAGCAGTGATTTATCTTCTATGTATTGTCAGTGCCTAGAATTATGTCTAGTATAAAGTGTCTCTGAAAAAGTCTGATATTAGTTTCAAATGCACAACATAGTAAATGGACAATTCTATACATCACACGATGCTCACCACAACAAGTGCAGTTACCATCTGTCACCATACAAAGTTATAAAATGTTAACTGACTATATTCCCTATGCTGTACTTTTCCTCTCCATGACTTACTTTATAACTGGAAGGAAGGAAGGAAGGAAGGAAGGAAGGAAGGAAGGAAGGAAGGAAGGATGGATGAGGGGAGGATGAGGGGAGGAGAGGAGAGGGGAAGAAGGGGAGGAAGGGGAGGAAGAAATTCCTAATGTGTCCCTTAAAAAACATTCACAGGTCTTAAAAAAAACAATAACTTACTACTTCTCAGAAGAAAATATCACACAGTGTCATTAAGAAAATGCAAAAGATTAATGTCTAATAAAACAAGTGTTTCCTTCTAAAAAATGTCTGATAAATCCTTGCATAAATAAATGAAGATTTATTTATCCCATGCACAAAATAGCTGATATTTAAATACGCTTATAAACCTTAACTTCATTGTCGTTGTACTGACATTATTCAACTGAGTACTTAGCTCTAAAATATGTCCCCTAAACAAAGCTGATTAAAATGTAATTAATATGAGCTATGTGAAGGAGTTATGGAAAAAGAAAAGAGAACCACTCTAAATAAACTGTGACCAAAATCTTCTAGATTATTTATTTCAAAGGGCTAGGCCCTTGGTATAAAAATCATTCATTATATAACACAAATGTACATTTCCAAACATGTCATCTGCTAGTCTCCTACACAAATTTTTTACTGGGGTCAATATAATCTTCTCATTGTCTTCCATGGACCCTACTTTTCTATCTTCACTCATGTAGTTCTCCATGCCTGGAATGCATATTCCAACCCTATTCTGCAAGGCCAACCTCCTCTATAAATCCTCTACAAAGTATACTTTGCCATGATACAGTAGACTTCCTTTAAATTCCTATGGCATTGAGGCACTTGGGTGGCTCAGTTGGTTCAGCGTCCAACTCTTAATTTCGGTTCAGGTCATGATCTTGGGGTCATGGGATGGAGCCCTGCCTCAGGCTCTGTGCTGGGCATGGAGCCTGCTTGAGATTCTCCCTCTCCCTTGTCCTCCACCCCCGCTTTCTCTAAAAATAATTTAATTTAATTTAAAAATTCCTATGGCATTTAATTACATCGTTATTCATTTAGCACCTATCATATTTCATCTTGCATTAGTAGCAATCTATATATCTCTCTCTCATCTAAATTTTAAAATTTTTATTTCAGTAATCATGCTTTAAATTTCACTGTATTATTAACAGTACTTATCAGAGTTTTCTCTCTATATATAGGTAGACCACTCAGGTGGTTTTTTAAAATCGCCTTCCCTTTCTGTTCACCATAGAAACTGGAAGTGATTACAGATTTATTAAAAGCAAAAGTGAAGTCAGTTGTTAATACAACTGAAAAAAAACTAGTTCATACGCATCAAATATTCATTTAATTATAAACTACAATATGGATACTAATGCACCTAATTTTTATAGTAAAATTTTTTTAATGTACTTACCACATAAAACATTAAAACTTTTCTATTTTAAGTAAAAGAAATGTCAGAAGCATAATTAAAATACCAACGTACTGATTGAAGATGCTCTTTAACCTGTAGTGCTTTTCTATTCATGATACCTAATGTTCCAGGAAAAAACTGATCATAGCTTGCTGGTCCTGGACTATCTGAAACAAACTTCTTAAAACGCTTCTCCCGGTTTTGTAGACTATGACCTCCTTTTATATTATACTAAATTGGAGAGAAAAAATATGAAATAATTAAAAGAAGCACTTAATAATTAATACACATTTGGTAAGTATTATATATTAACATGAACAAACAGTTTTAAAACCCAACCTGAGAAAGTTAAGGCTCTTGACTGAAGACATCATTCTAATAAAGGGATAATAAGAGAGGACGACAACTATAGTCATCAGTTTTAACTCTGAACTCAGACTAAAACTTACTGTACTTAGAACACTCTAAGAGAGGGGCGCCTGGGTGGCTCAGTTGGTTAAGCGACTGCCTTCGGCTCAGGTCATGATCCTGGAGTCCCGGGATCGAGTCCCACATCGGGCTCCCTGCTCAGCAGGGAGTCTGCTTCTCCCTCTGACCCTCTTCCCTCTCATGCTATCTCTCATTCTCTCTCTCTCAAATAAAATAAAATTTTAAAAAAAAAAAGAACACTCTAAGAGAATGCAAAACTCAGTTTTAAAACAGGAATCAAAATAATGGAATCCCCAGTTGTAGAACAAGAATAAAGAGTATACACTAACAGGCCTCAAGGGAATATGTACCTCTGAAATGAGCTAGAAATATTGGTACTCACACTGCAAGGAAAAAGCAAACCTTCCAAGCTTGCTTAGGATTAATTATTCTCATGAACTATTTTTTGGCCATTTCCAGGGATGCTTATGTAGGCTTACTGGCAACAGCATGGGTTTTTATTTGGTTGGTTGGTTTTTTCTTCATTTTTTTAACAGCTTGGTTTTATGCTCAGATTAATTTTAAACATTGTTTAATGCAGAGAAGGAACTGGGAGGAATCTCCCATACCTCTCCATGCCACATATCTGGATTCTCTGGAATCAGAAAATTATCAACAGGGTAATAGCCAGTGAATTCAGATAAAATTCCATCTTATTAGTTTCAATTAACAGTCATAGTGTAATCATTTCAAAGATGATTCATAGTAATAATGGTTGGCATTTGATAGATAAGTTTTTTTTTAACATTTTTTTTTTTTATTTGAGAGAGAGAGAGAAAAGGAGCAGGGGGAGGGAGAGGGAGAAGCAGACTCCCCACTGAGCAGGGAGCCCGACCTAGGGCTCAGTCCCAGGACTCCAGTCTCCAGGATCATGACCTGAGCTGAAGGCAGATGCTTAACCCAGGTGCCCCCAGATAAGATTATTTTTTAAGTTACTGATTTACCAACAGAACTCTTCCCATGGTATATACATGTCAGATGTTCATAATCACTATTAACTGAGCCTATCTCTACTTTGCATCTTATTCAGCTGCTTTCAGTTTTTAAGAAATACACAAAAGAGATCTTCTCTTAAAAAATGAGTCAAAATTATATTCTTAGGTAGCCAATCCACTACTTGATAACTGTTTTAATAAGACCATAATTCCTGTTTAAAGAGTTTGGATCTATAACAAAATTTAATGATTTTGCAAAAGTATTAACATTACAAGTTAGATAAAAAGTAAAATCATGTGAAAAGAGAATATCTCCTCAAATCTTGATTCTTTGAAAGCTATTCCTATAGTCTCTAAGAGCTTACATTTCACACTGCAATTTGAATTTATATTGAACTTCAACAGAAGATAGTAAAATTAATCTGATTTTTTAACTGGTAGAAATTAACCAGGACTTTTCCAATTATTCATATTTCATAATTACCAATTCTACTGATTTTATAAGAGGTTATAAAAGGAACTACCATACAATGTGTCAGATAAAGGACCCAAAAATTATATTATGAGGTAACTATACATTTTATATAAAACCTGTGAGAAAACAGCCTTCCTAATTCTTGAGTCCTGTGCTTTTGTCTATATGCTGTGCTTATTTGATGAATTACTATATTGCCAGCAACCTCCCAACAATACAGAATGCAGAGTCTCATCTGAAGGGTGAGGCCATGCACTGCATCAGGTATGATATCCCATCATACAGCTCTAGTGAAACGTATCTCTCAGATCAAAAATAAAACCTAATTTGGACATCTATTACTAGGCCTAGATAGTGAGAAATATGAAAGAAACTGTCTATCTGGAACCAGGGAGGAGCTCTCCACATTTAAATCTTATATAGCAAGGAACAAGATGGTATCACCCAAGCAGAGACAGGTCACAAACTAGAAGAGAATTAGAACCAGAAAACATAAATTAAATTTGAACTGGCCCTGTAGAGGGGGATTCATTCTAGGAAAAAGGATATGAACAAAATAAGGTATGTGACTTAATAAGCTAATTATCTGGGGCGCCTAGGTGGCTCAGTCGGTTGGGCATCTGCTTCAGCTCAGGTCGTGATCCTGGAGTCCTGGGATCAAGCCCCACATCGGGCTCCCTGCTCTGCGGGGAGTTTGCTTCTCCCTCTCCTCCCCGCTCATGCTCTCTCTCTCACTATCTCTATCGCAAATAAATAAAATTTTTTAAAAATAAGCTAATTAGGGGCGCCTGGGTGGCTCAGTCAGTTAAGCGACTGCCTTCGGCTCGGGTCATGATCCCTGAGTCCCGGGATCGAGTCCCACATTGAGCTCCCTGCTCAGCAGGGAGTCTGCTTCTCCCTCTGACCCTTCCCCCTCTCATGTGCTCTCTCTCTCTCTCTCATTCTTGCTCTCTCAAATAAATAAATAAAATCTTTAAAAAAAATAAAAATAAAATAAAAATAAGCTAATTATCAGAGAATTAGAAATTTGTATTTTGTAAACTTCATTCTTCTATTTTCTTAATTTCCCTTATGTTGTTTTCTAAGAAAACTTCCTTTTGAAAAAAATTAGCATGCTTCAGATATGCTAGAGGAGACAAAGGAAAAAGTGAATTTGCCCATAACTGGGCAAGAGCTGGAAAGGCAAAAAGAATACTCCCATCCTCACTCCCAACATTGCAATAGTGGTGACAACCATACACAAAGTGAGATAACCATAACAGAAACAGAGAAATAGAGAAGACTAAATTGGGGCACACAGTTTCAACTCCCAAATGTTTTGCTTTTATAAGAGCTTCAAGTATTACATACAGTGGAGGCAGGCCCTCAAAACTACAGCCACATTTTCAGTCTTTTCAAATTTCATTTGAAGTCTCCAGGTAATATTTACTAAGCAATTGCTAATAGAAAGGAACATTTCAATCTATGCTTCCAAAAAAAAAGGTATAAAAATAAATTGTTAAATACTTGCATTAATTTCCAATAAGATTATCCCTTTAATTATCCAGCATATTAATTATTTACAGAATTAGTATGCTAACTATGTCACATTACAAATATATCCATTATTATTTTAAATGGCTGGATTAGGACATATGTTTGTACAGTGACTATATAACATAATAAAATTAAATTAAATTTAAAAAAACAAAAAAAATAATAAAAATAAAATAATAATGGACTTTATTTTTTAAACAGTGTGATAAATTCACACTTCTTGAAATTCTAAAAGTTCTACTAGAATTTAGCCTAGGGGCGCCTGGGTGGCTCAGTCGTTAGGCATCTGCCTTCGGCTCAGGTCACGATCCCAGGGTCCTAGGATCGAGCCCCACATCAGGCTCCCTGCTCAGCGGGAAGCCTGCTTCTCTCTCTTCCACTCCCCCTGCTTGTGTTCCCTCTCTCTCTGTGTCGCTCTTTGTCAAATAAATAAATAAAATCTTAAAAAAAAAAAAAGAATTTAGCCTAAAACAACCCAAAAAAGTCAACAGCAATTGAGTAAATAAGGCACAGTCATTTTTCAAACCAAGGAAATCAGTCTTCTCCTGGCATTGGTTTATAGTTCTAAGAAGAAAAATAGAGAATACCAGAACTCTTTTTCTTAGATCGTCCATTACATTAAAAAAGTACATTTCCTAATTCCTTTTTCTTGAAATCCAAGAAATGTACCCAAATGAGGATAAAATAAAATCAGGTCTAAGTTGCAATTCATGTTATTTTACATGTGGAATTGACTAAAATCAATATTATTATAATATTCCAACATCCTGATATTTGTCATACTTAACAAGTTTGAAATCTGCCTCTTGTGTATTTTATTGCATTCCCCTCTTGAAACAGTGGAGTTAGAGTATTAAAAAAACTACTGGTGGAGCTAGCAAGCCCATATGCCCATAATATGCTGGCCACGGCATGGAAGCAGGAGTGACACTTCCAGTGATGACATCTGATGACCCATTGCTATTTTTTGCTTTTTGCCCTCTAGGTACTAGTATGCTGGAAGTTTTAAGAACCCAGGGAAGAGCCATAAACGTTCCACTGAGTTGGAAGCTGAGACCATCAGCTGGCCATCCCAGGCTCTGTATGCTAGAAAGCAAAATAAGGAGTGTATTGGCTGAGGTGATTAACCCTGACCAGGACTGAAAAACAGGACTAAGGATAGCCACAAGCATTGCAGTGGGATGGAACACCGAGACACCCTGCAGAGCTTCCTTGAACTATAATGCCCAGTGAAAATGGTAAGAGCAAGTTTATTTAAAGGTTTGAGAAGGAAGCCTGCAAATCAAGAGCTCAGACTACTTAGAACTAAAGATTCTGGTCACCACATCAGGTTGAAAACTCCACCAGATAAAGTCCCTTTAAAGAGACAGGGACATGGTAGATCTATAAATTCCTACTGAATCTGAATAATCCAGTATCAGCAGTAATGAAGAATGATTAACAGATTTATTTTCTTATTTTCATTTATATTCTCAATTGTAATGTGCTCTTCTATTTGAAATAAAAAACCCTAGTTATAAATAAATAAATAAATAAATAAATAAATAAATAAATAAATAAATAAAAGAGAGAGACAAGGAACACAGAATGAGTAATGAAAAAGTCTTAAACTATCTATAGCTTCAGATCAGTTACAGAAACTAACAGGGCCTCCTCTGCATTTCCTTGCTTCTTACATCACTTGCTTTCATTTCCCCTCTCTTTCTTTCCCTCTTCTATTGTAAAATGGCAACACTAATAATGCATAAAAGTTATTGGATGCTACCTATAATCACGCACTATTCTAAAATGCTTACTAATGTATTTAACTCTTAGAAAAAGCCTACAAACTTAGTATGCCTATTTAACAAATGAGCAAACTAAAGCCCAAAGAGATTAAGTAGTTAAGATTAAGTCTACCTACATTTGAAATCTGTCTGAATTAGTTAAGTTGCAGAGACAGATTTCAAATGTAGGAGCCCACACTACTAACCACTTCTTTATAATATCTCGTGTTATATTTACTTACCATTTAATCTACAGGCTGCAGAATAATGGAACAGGGATGTGAAAAAACAAAAGTAGAAACGGCCTTAATCTAAAGATCCATTTGGTAGTGATACTGTAATATCATCTCTGAATGCAGTAGTTTGGTTCCTTCAGGGAAGTTATACTTGAAAATTATACATAAAATAATTGCATTTTTTAAATTGTATATGTGGGAAGAAGAATTATGTATAAATGTAGTGCACATGAGAGAGAAGAGAACTGGGCAGTCAAGGGATAAAATGTAATGGAAATCTATTGTTTTTTATCTGTCCAGCATCCTATTATCTGCCCATAACGGCATACATATTCACCACCATTGGGGCAATCAAACCTCCCCTACACTTTGTGATTTTACAGAAGTTTCCAAACACAGGATTCCCTATCCCAGGGATGAATGGACCAATCAGATTCTTCCTACTAGGAATTTTAATCCTAAATGGAGTCACACATAAAAAAATGTAAGGGAATTATAGAATTATCTAATGGCAGTTCTGATTGCAGTTCTTACTACTGAAATACCTGGAAGTGTCTTAGTCCTGTCCTTCATTAAGACTTAAATATACAATTAATGCTTCAAGTCCATAAGCCACCCAAATACCTTTCCTATAAATATTATTGTAAATCTAGTATCTGTCTTAAAAATCTATTTTATTGCTTCCAAGCAAAAACTCCTAACTGATAGAATGGTTGCTATTACCAACTCAGAAAGTCTAATGCAACAATTAAGGTATCAATGACTGCCCCTGGGCCTCCAACAGAGGAAATAAAAATCTGCCAGGTTCAATTAGGAGTCATTATGTAGAATGCAAAATTAATGTGAAAAGGGTGAAAGATGATATTTATGATTATGAAGATATTGGAGTTACATCCACTGTTTCTGAACATGAATGGATCATCAAAGATATTCTGGTCATAGACTCTCAAGACTGTATAGGAGCCAGGTGAGACAATGAGAGTAGCCATACCTTAAGAATATGGCACACAAACTAATTTTCACTCTATTGCCATCCTCCATCTACATATCTTGATCATTTGCACAACTTTCATGCACTGTAATTCATTCAATAGTCCTATTCTCCCATTCAAGAATCTCAAGAGCCATGAAGCATGTAACAATGTTTTATGTCTTATAGAATACATAGAATAATGGAGAAAATCCAACCAGGCAATCAACAATAAACACTTTTATTTTCTCATATTCTAATAACAAAATATAGATTAAAAGGAGAAAAAAGAGGATATGAAGGGAAAATGAAATATGACAAATGACATATTAGCCTAGGAGAGGAAGAAAGTATGATTATTAACTCCAACAATTATAAAAACTATTATAAATTTACCTGTGCTTCCGAAACATTATAGTGTCCTGGCCCTGGGACAGCTTTCTCAGTGTTAGAGGCAACAGTAAAAGTACTTTCTCTGGCAGCCAAAGAAAGGAATGGTGCATAGCCACCTATAAAAGTAAAATCATATAAGATAGATAAGATAGGGTCCCAGTGATTTCAGAGAAAAAGCATTCAAAATATATAAAATCATTTAGTAACCTCAACTGTGGAGACTATATTATCAGAACTAATGGCTAGCCACAGAAGTTGTTCCTTTTTTAAAAATTCTGATGTAACAGCAGAACATTTATTAATATATATTAAGTAAAATAACTTACAGAACTGGAATTCCTAAACAACAGAAAAAATACTTAAATAAAAAACAAAACCCTTTTTTTTCTTCTAAGAATATTTGATTGAAATGAAAACAACAATTATGTTTAGCTAATAAAATATTTTCATCCTCAGAAGACCAGCGTTTTACATTTTGGAACAACATCTATTATTTATAGAGAATAGCATATATAAAGTTGTAGAGACAACTTAGATTGAAATAATTTAAAGTGAGCTTACAGCAAGTAATTAATAATGTCTCTTTGCTTTGGTACTAGTTGGTAGTCAGTAAATATTTCTTAATTGCCTGACCCCAAACAAAGGTTTACAAATCTAAGATACAAATTTCTTTGGAACAAATAATCATAAAATTAGACAAACTTAATAAACTTAGTAGACAGGGCGCCTGGGTGGCTCAGATGGCTAAGTGTCTGCCTTCGACTCAGGTCATGATCCCAGTGTCCTGGGATTGAGTCCCGCGTTGGGCTCCCTACTCAGAGGGGAGCCTGCTTCTCCTTCTGCCTCTGCCTCTCTCTCTCTGTCTCTCATGATTAAATAAATAAAAACTTTAAAAAAAATTAGTAGACAGACTTAGTCTTCTGAAAGACTGATAAAAAAATATCAAGAACTATATCTAGAAAATGAATATAATTTAAGCAACACAGATACCATAGAAGATATGGGAGAGAATAGAGCCACTATCTTCAACAGGTAATAAAAGAATGAAAGTGAGGATGCAAAATTTGTGAGAATCTTATACACTAAAGGAAAATGTACACTACTGTGAGAATATATGGCAATAATTAGTATAGTTTAAAATCTTGCTAATCTGGGCTAATAATAAAAGATAGTATTTTTAAAACAGGAAATAATGTGTTTCTTTTGAAGCCCATATTTATTAAACTGTAACTGAAATCAAGAATTATTTCTTGATTCTTTCTTATTTCTTATTATTTCTACTTCACTAAAGAAAACCAGCAAACCATGAAAGAGAGAAAGACAAGAATGGATCAGAGAAAATCTTCAGAAACAACCACAACCACAAAACAAGTAACAAGATAGCAATAAATATATATCTATTAGTATTACTTTGAATATAAATGGACTAAAAACACTTCAATCGAAAAACATAAGGTGACTGACTGAACAGATAAAAAACAAGACCCATGTATATGCTGCCTATAAGAGACTCACTGCAGAGCTAAAGACACCTACAGGTTGAAAGGGAGGGGATGGAAAAACATTTATCATGTAAATGATATCAAAAGAAAGCCAGGGTAGCAATACTTATATTGGACAAAATAAACTTAAAACAAAGACTGTAACAAGAAACAAAGAACGACACTATATAATAATAAAAGGGACAATCCAACAAGAAAATATAACAATTGTAAATTTGTATGCACCCAACATGGGAGCACCCAAATACATAAAACAGTTCATAACAAGCATAAAGGAAATAATGGATAGTAACACAATAATAGTAGGGGACTTTAACACCACACTTACAGTGATGGGCAAATCATCCAAAAAGAAAATCAACAAGGAAACAGTGACTTGAATGACACACTGGACCAGATGGATTTAATAGATATATTCAGAACATTCCATCCTAAAACAGCAGAATACACATTTCTTTTAAGTACACATGGAACATTTTCCAGAATAAATCACATATGAGGCCACAAAACAAATCTCAGCATATTAAAAAAAAAAAAAACTGAAGTCATACTATGCATTTTTTCTGACCACAATGCTATGAAATTAGAAATCACCCATAAGAAAAAATCTAGAAATAGCACAAATACAGGGAGGTTCTATAACATGCCATTAAACAATGAATGGATCCACCAAGAAATGAGAGAAGAAATCAAAAATTACATGAAAATGAAAACAAAATGGTCCAAAGTCTTTGGGACGCAGCAAAAGTGGTTCTACGAAGGAAATTTACAGCACCACAGGCCTACCTCAAGAAGCAAGAAAAATCTCAAATAAATAACCTAACCTTACACCTAAAGGAGCTAGAAAAAGAAAAAACAAAGCCAAACCCAACAAAAGGAAAGAAATAATAAAGATCAGAGAAGAAATAAATGATATTGAAATGAATAAAACAATAGAACAGGTCAATGAAAACCAGGAGCTGGTTCTTTGAGGAAAAAAAAATCAATAGAATTGATAAGCTTCTAGCCAGACTTATCAAAAAAAAAAAAAAAGAGAGAAAGGACTCAAAAAAGAAAAATCACAAATGAGAAATAACAACCAACATCATAGAAATGAAAAAAAATTATAAGGAATATTATGAAAAACTATATGCCAACAAATTAGACAACCTAGAAGAAATGGGTAAATTCCTAGAAACACATAAATACAAAAACTGAAACAGAAAGAAATAGAAAATTTGAGCAGATGGATAACCACTAAAGAAATTGAGTCAGTATTCAAAAACTCCAAACAAACAAAAGTCCAAGACCAGATGGCTTCACAGGGGAATTCTACCAAACATTTAAGAAGAATTAATACCTATTCTTCTCAAAATATTCCAATAGGAAAACTTCCAAGTTCATTCTATAAAGCCAGCATTACCCTGATATCAAAATCAGATAAAGACACCACAAAAAAAGAGAACTACAGGCCAATATCTCTGATGAAAATAGATGTAAAAATCCTTAAAACACTAGCAAACTGAATCCAACAATATATTTTAAAAAATCATTCACCATGAAAAAGTGGGATTTATTCCTAGGTTACAAGGATGGTTCAGTATTCACAAACTAATCAACATGATACATCATACCAATAAGAGAAAGGATAAGAACCATATGATCATTTCAACAGACGCAGAAAAAAGCATTTGACAAAGTACAACATGCATTCGTAATAAAAGCCCTCAACAAAGTAGATTTAGAGGGAACATACTTCAGTATAATAGAGGCCATATATGAAAACCTCACAGCTAAAATCATCCTTAAATGGGGACAAACTGAGATCTTTCCCCCTAAGGTCAGGAAAAAGACAAGGATGTGCACTCTCACCACTTTTATTCAACATATACTGTAATCTTAAGCCACAGCAATCAGACAATACAAAGAAATAAAAGGCATCCAAATTGGTAAGGAAGAAGTAAAACTTTCACTATTTGCAGATGATTTGATACAATGTATAGAAAATCCTAAAAACTCCACCAAAAAACTGCTAGAACTGATAAATGATATTCAGTCAAGTTGCAGGATACAAAATCAATCTATAGAAATCTATTGAATTTCATTTTTTTTTGAAATCTATTGCATTTCTATACACCAATAATGAAGCAGCAGACAGAGAAATCAAGAAAACAATCCTGCTTGCAGCTGCACCAAAAATAATAAGATACCTAGGAATAAACTTAATGAAAGCAGTGAAAGACCTTTACTTCAAAAACTATAAAACACTGATGGAGAAAATTGAAAATGACACAAAGAAATGGAAAGACATTCCATGCTCATGGGTTGGAAGAACAAATATTGTTAAAATGTCTATGCTACCTAGAGCAATCTACACATTCAATGCAATCCCTATCAAAATATCATCAACTTTTTTCACAGAGCTGGAACAAATCATCCTAAGATTTGTATGGAACCAGAAAAGACCCTGAATAGCCAAAGGAATGTTGAAAAAGAAAACCAAAGCTGGTGGCATCAAAATCCTGGACTTCAAGCTTTATTACAAAACTATAATCATCAAGACAGTATGGTAATGGCACATAAACAGACACATAGATCAATGGAACAGAACAGAGAGCCCAGAAATGGACCCTCAACTCTATGGTCAACTAATCTTTGACAAAGCAGGAAAGAATATCCAATAGAAAAAAGACAGTCTCTTCAACAAATGTTGTTGGGAAAATTGGACAGCCACAAGCAGAAGAATGAAACTGGGCCATTTCCTTACACCACACACAAAAATAGACTCAAAATGGATGAAAGACCTAAATGTGAGACAGGAATCTATCAAAATCCTTGAGGAGAACACAGGCAGCAACCTCTTCGACCTTGGCCACAGCAACTTCTTGCTAGGCATGTCTCCAAAGGCTGGAGAAACAGGCAAAAATGAAGTATTGGGACTTCATCAAGATAAAAAGCTTTTGCACAGCAAAGGAAACATTTGACAAAATCAAAAGACAACTAACAGAATAGGAGAAAATATCTGCAAATGACATAACAGATAAAGGGCTAGTATCCAAAATCTATAAAGAACTTATCAAACTCAACACCCAAAGAACAATAATCCAATCAAGAAATGGGCAGAAGACATGAACAGACACTTTTCCAAAGGGACATCCAAAATGGCCAACAGACACATGAAAAAGTGCTCAACATCAGTCGGCATCAGGGAACTACAAATCAAAACCACAATGAGACCACCTCACACCAGTCAGAATGGCTAAAATTAACAAGTCAGGAAATGACAGATATTGGCGAGGGGGTGGAGAAAGGGGAACCCTCCTACACTGTTGGTGGGAATGCAAACTGGTGCAGCCTTTCTGGAAAACAGTATGGAGGGTCCCCAGCAATTCCACTACTGGGTATTTACCCCAAAGATACAAATGTAGTGATCGGAAGGGGCACCTACATTCCAATGTTTATAGCAGCAATGTCCACAATAGCTAAACTATGGAAAGAGCCCAGATGTTCATCGACAGATGACTGGATAAAGAAGATGTGGTATCTATATACAATGGAATACTACCCAGGCATAAAAAAAAAAAAAAAAAAATGAAATCTTGCCATTTGCAACAACATGGATGGAACTAGAGGGC